CACGTGACACGGGTCAGGAAAAAAGTCGAGGAGCCGAGGAGTGACGTAGGTCCGTGCTACAAGGACCCTGCTTCGTATTTCCCTGGAGAGACGGCGGGAGTCTGTTCTTCGGACATTACGTCATTTTGTGCACTTCTAAGGGACTCGCAGAGACGGCGACATACGTTTTTGAAAAAGACCATTTAGCGTATACGATTTGTAGAACGACGCAAACTTAAAAACGCGAGTGGAATTTTTAAAATTTCGAAGAAAAGAGATTTGAAAAATACGTTTCTTATTTCTACAACAATAAATCTATACCTATTGTGGTAATAATAGTAGTTCAGTCAATGAATACTAAAGCAGGAGAAAGCTTGGAAAGCAATAAATGATCCCGCTCTTGATTTTCTCTATTTTCACCGAAGAGGTACCGACTCTAAGTTGGCCGTATGACCTTTCATTGAAATATAACGCGGTACATGTAAGACATCTTGTACACGTTTAACAATGTATACACAAATGAAAATAGATCTTAGGGTCGGTTGTTCCAACCTTTTAGTAAATTAACTAATAGTTAAATCATATGTATGTCTTTGTTTATCCTTTACATTAAACAAAGATAGACATATGATTTAACTATTAGTTAGATTACCAACAGGTTGGAACAACCGGCCCTTAATGAAAAAAATAACATCGCGTCGCTACGGCCAACGCGAGTTTAAAGAGCGTGTAACGAGCAAAAAAAACCGTGTGTGATCGTCATTATCTCTCGGAGGCAACAATGTGCCATCGAGTAACTAACTTCGATGCATCCAACGATAACGCTATGTCATACCCGGAAGAGGAATGCTTATCTGAAGAGCGGTTATGTATTTCGGAGCAACATCGGGTACCCCTTATCGCGAACGGAGGTCGTACAAAAGGTAACCGTCGACCTCGTATCGCTAAATACGAGCTACCCGGTACGATATATCCTATTAAGGTCAGCGCAAGATAAAGCTCCCGCCGCGATTTCAGCGTATCGTTGATTTCCATTCCCGAGTCAATTAAGCTCGGCTTAAATGAAAAGAGATTTAAAATATTCAAAGGCTTCGCGGACAAGCGCGCAATTGTGCATCCCCGGGATAGGCGAAATAGATTCAGCTACGTTCCACTTTGTATCGGAGTTTCTAAACTGGATCCCGCGCGGATCTCCTAATTTAGCGTGTCACGCAAATTAATAGCCTGCTAACGGGATAGCTAATGGCCTGAGAAATTCAAGAAGTTATCGCGGTAACTGCACCGGAAGCCAAACGCTTTGCTGTCCAACAAGCGGTAACTGCAGATAATTACTTCGTCCAGCGTTTCCATTAATTCTTACGATACTAAAAATTCGTAATTAACGAACAGCAAACGTGCCACGTGGGTAGCGCTCGGTCATTCTGAAAGCGATAAATCAACTATTACGCGACCTCTCGCGTATATTATATGCGGCGCGTTCTGGCCGTAAAAACCGGCCTTTGTTAGAAATATGCATTCTAAGTGTTTCAAAAGGGTTCATAAATTATATTTTATTTACTAGCGGACTTTACTGCCGGGTTAAAAGACGCCGGACAGAAAATGTCGTCATAATTATATTTTAGACATGAATATTCTGAAACGTAAAAACCTCACACGACACTAACAAACCATTCCTCTCGTAAGACAATATAACGCACAAGATACTCTATTTCGCCGACCGGCGTGCGTTAGGAACTTCCTTCTTGCAGCGCGGCGTATAGTTAATAATGCAGTATATAGGAAATAGTTAACGAACGGCTGCGTGAAGTTATCTACTCCACGGCGGCGGGTGTTAGGCGAACGAAATTGTTGCTCAACAAGTAGTAAACGAGCTGATCATAATCGCGAGCTGTAAAGCAGGCGGGCCTCCTTCCGCGAAACCCATAAAGCCCATGCATTCTCTCTCAATGCGGCAGATACTTTGCACAGTGGAAACTACAACCCACGATGGTAGATTTAACGACGGTAGCGCGGCGTTGACGGTGGTTGAGCACACGCAGGGCGCACTCTCTCTCCGTTACTCTCCATAGCTTTCTGAAAATCCGGGATTTCATCCTTCTTGATCCTTCGACGTTCTGTTGTAAAGAGCTTATACTTCACCTCGCAGCTATCGATCGGCGGAGTGTCATCGACGTTTGATATCCGACCTATGTTGTTCCGTGTAATCGTAAACTCACTTACTCCGTTCCATATCGCTCGAAGAATATTACGAATTTCGGAAAAGAATTCGTACGGAACGAAATACGGAACGAAACGGAAAAGAATATATCGTAAGTTATGAGGTTTTAATGTGCGAATCTCAGGAGATAATCCTCACAGTTGAAAATTTACATGAAGTTTCTTCACGGGAAGTTAAATAAATCTTTTCTTCTTTGTACTCAAAACAACCGCAGTTTTCGCATCTTGAAATACTTGATTTATCTTTACGAGACAACCAGCGTGTGTTGCGTACCACAAACTGAGAGGGTTATTGTGGCTCTTAATGCTTTACTCTACGAATTGGGTTAAGTAGGATTAAAAACCGAATGAAATGTAGAATTATGCAGAATTTGCAAGATTAAATACCTTTTTCGTATGCTGAAATTAACCGTAGAGTAAATCCAGATTGCGGAATGTTATTATAATATAAACAGTAGCATGAAATACTCTAAATTCATTAAAATTCAAATAGTTGCATAAAAATTACTCATTACTTTTAAATTGCAAATTTAATCTGTGTTGTTAACTTACATAAAATTTGCATAAATTTTTTTCTTATATTTTGAGGCATCTTGAAGTATATATATATTCTTAAAATATTCCGCGAGTGCTTTGTTATAAATTTTCGAGAGAGAGAGAAAGAGAGAGAGAGAAATCTTCAAACTCTTAAGTCTTTCAAAGCACTGGTATCTAAAGGTTATCAAATCTGCAGAGAACGCTTATCTTCAAACTATATTTGAAGTGACTAGAAACTTCGCAGCGATTAACTCCTTCGAAAATTTACAAGAACGTAGATCCATCATGCCTATCTCCGAGTTCATATCGCTTATCGAGAATTCCCGACCACGTCCCGCCATATTGATATATTTCTGAAATATATGATAAAAGTCGCAGCTCTGAAAAGGAACGATATACCCTCCGCGTTTTATGTGTCCGTGTATATATATGTTTATGGGAAGTCGTCGACCGTGCTATTGCAATTACGGATAAGATTAAGGGTCCTTCGACGCTCGTAATGGGCCTGTGATGTCGTTGTCGGAAATAAGAGAACGTATCTACTGTCCTATAATACGGAGTGACGCATGCCACCGATAGCAAAGTGCGAAATCGTGATTATATGGTTTTCGGTTATTACAAGCTTGAGAGAGGTAAGAGCGATAAGAGGGCGAAAAAGAATAACAGTCTACCGAAGGGATCGAAGTCGTAAATTGAGGAGGCAGTTCCGACCCGAAAATATTGAATTGCATGTTGCGTCAGTCACATTTCTTTCTCTCTTTATTTTAAGATAGATGAACAAAGAAGACTTAGGCTCAAAAGTATTTGTTATAATTACTGTATTGTTATTCGCTTTTTAATTTTCTCAATCAAACACGGAAAAAAAAGATTAGCTATTATAGCTAAAATAATCTTAATATATAACTAACATTGTTTGCAACGAGAGTAACATTTTTTGCAGCAAGAAGGTTTTGCTACTATTGCAAACTATAGCTCTCGCTGCAAAAAATATAGCTCTAGCTGTAAAAAATATTGGTTATCCATATTTTACGACTAAATTTAGCTATTTTTTTTCCGTGAAACAAAGATAAGTTTTCTTTTTAAATAAAAAATTCAATAATAATTGTTTATAAATAAAGTAATTAATCAAACTGCCATTAAATAAAAGGCTCAAATAATTCTCAATTTAACAGTTAAAATTGGTTAGTAATAATATATAGTAACATGTATTCAAGTACCTAAACTGAAATAAATTCGCTCATCAAAATTAAGAATATCTCAGGTAACAATAATTTGATTCTAAAATGCTTTTTCTCTCAGTTACTTATTAGACGAAATTACCGTTATTCTAGACAATTAATAAATCTATACGAAATAAAATGCAAGCTATACAATAAATCATTTATCGCAATTAAATTAAAGCGCAAGCAGTAAAATATTTAGCGTGCGTTTATTTCATAATACACTGCATGTGCGGCCTTGTCCGGTTTGATGTTTTTGCGACAAAGCGCCAAGAGCACCGTGTTGTCACTGGCGTAACGAAAGCCGCTGCTCCGTTTGTCGTCGCATTACCCATTGAAAGGCGGTCGCGTCAAGTTTGCTAGGAGACATCAAACGCCATTGTATTTTGCAGTTACTAAGCGATCACTATAGCTCATATTCCGTAAGCGTATCTAACTTTTCGGATCGTCGATAGTATCTCGCGCGATTGATTCACTCGGAATGGAAATCGAAGCGAAATAGAGAATGGGAAATGTAAACCGGTCCAGGGCACTTACGGGCGCGATACTTATCTCCGCTTTTGCATTCGAGGTGTATTCCGCATCGCGCTCTGAGCTTTCGGTTTAAATGCGACTCGCCTGCCGTTCCGTGATCGATAACGCGGAATAATATGCAAATCGCCGGGTGGCGTCTTCCGAGGAACGGGAAGCCGCGTTATATATCAATCGCATGCTGACAATCAATTCGAAATTGAAGAATAGAGAATATTTTACGTGGTTACGTTTATATTTCGCAACGCGGCAAATATTTCGAAGAAATGAGACCGACTGGGCGCGCGCGGCCTTGATGTTTGTTTTAGTAGTGTACCGACGCGCGCACCGTACACAAGGCCACATGTCGCCGTACCGTACTGTCATTTGCGCGACGAGACTTGACTCGAACTGCAATGGCAGAGTAAATCACCGCGCGTGCTCTCACTTTGATCCCTAATCAAAACGTAACTCTTGAACTGCCCGTGTGTCAAGATAGAAAACTTTATCTCGCCTGATAAGTTATTTTGATATGAGATTCACGTAAGGTAAATGTACCAGTGGTCGCACACTTAAGCCACAATTCAGATTGTGATACAAATTTAGCCCATTTAGACGCATGCTTGGTACAAATGACTTGAACCATCTTGAAGCTTAGGGTTTCTAGTTTCTAAAACACATGCAATGTTTATTTTAATATTCAGTCATTTATTATTTATGCCGCGAAAATGATAAAAAGGTCAAATGTACCAGTGTCCGCACAGCCTTTACTCGGTATGTCCCACCCAGTGTCCGCACAATACGATATTTAGGCTGCGGTCCACTTGATGCTACAAATGCTTCGAAGCATTCCTCCTTCAATGAAGAAAGAAGGAGAAGAAAAACGCTTCAAAGCATTTGTGGCGTCAAGTGGACCGCAGCCTTAAACCAAAATATATTCAGCCGTAACATAACCTCTCCATGTAAACAGCAAACAATTTTTCTGATACTGGTTGCACAGATTCAGCATGCACATTAGATTTATTGCAGATATATTATCAACAATGAGTACTTACTTATCAATCGGTTTTCCACACGATATTTTGTTTTCTTTTAATCGAAACACCAGAATTAATTCCGTAGTAACAACTTTGCATCGATCGAGAAACAGCGTGCTACGCGATGTGCGGTTACTGGGACTAGCGAACTCGCAGGGTTGTACCAGTATCCGAACAGCCGTGACGTGCGAGACCGAATAAACAATTTAAAATAAATGGTAATCCGTGCAGAATCATACTTCAAATTTGTTTGTTATTACAATAACGTATTGTAGATCCCTACACAATTTTTAGATTTGCAATATTCTTCACGAAATGCTTAATAAATTGAAAACATTAAAGTCGTGTGCGGCGACTGGGACGTGTGCGGCCACTGGTACGTTTACCTTAACAATGAGGTGTACAAGGTTTTTTGTTATGAATAGTCAAAGAGAGAGAAAAAGAGTTAACGCATTATTTAAAAATAATTTTTTTATTTATATGATAAACGCTTCTGTGAATTTTGTAAAATTGCAAATAAAACCAAATTTATTGCTTTATGCGCGTAAAGACCCCAGGCAAATATTATTTGTAGTGCATTCGTTCATTCTATTTGCCCCGCGAATTAATTACGCGACGTCCATAAAAGCCGCCGATGGATTCGCATAAAACATTCATACTTTCGGCCCGATTGCCGATGCAAGAAGCGGTAATTCTCGCAAAAAAAAGCTGACTGCGCGGAATATTCCTATGTAAATTCGGGAAAACCAGGAATTCACGGAAAGAACGTAATTCGACGAAGGCGCGGCCCTGCGTTTCTTTTCCGTTCCGGAATGCGCTTGAATAAGGCGCGCGGGGTGTAAATTATGAACGTGCGAAAGTATCATCCCGAGAGAGCTTAATTACGCTGTAACTTACGCTGTAGGCTGTAAGTGTCGTTCCTAAGCTCCTAAATCGTATAGCTTGAGGCGCGCTTAAACACGAAGAATGCCTCTTATAATTTGAATTACTGCGTGAGAGTTTTGTGCAATTGAGATATATTCGGATTTGAGTTAATTTAATAAGGGCGAGAGAGAGAGAGAGAGAAAGAGAGAGAGAGAGAAAGAGAGAGAGAGAGAAAGAGAGAGAGAGAGAGAGAGAGAGAGAGAGAGAGAGAGAGAGAGAGAGAGAGAGAGAGAGAGAGAGAGAGAGAGAGAGAGAGAGAGAGAGAGAGAGAGAGGTCCGAGGTTTCCGTTTTATAAATAATATTAGCAGGAATGTTTATGTTATGCACAGACAACGGATGGACGTTTTTCTTATCTTGTTTATAAAACGAGAATCTCTGACTCTTCTCATTAACTCGAACGCCAATATATCTCATTTACATAAAAAATTACCTAGTAACTCGAATTGTAAAAGCTGTTTGGCTAGATTCTTCGACACTCTATGAAGAGAAATTAATTTTTCCCAACTACTAATAGAATTGCAATGGCGGCTCATATATTCCGGTGCACGTTGCATTCGTCCTCAAATTATACATCTGTATTTTTCCGCGAATCTCGCAGCTCTAGCACGCTTTATGAATATTCTGAGGAGCGTGCTTCGCCGCACTTAAACCCGGTTTTATTAAATGATACCGCCAGCAACGTCGAGCGTTTTCACAAAAGCAAAATAAGTGTGTATACGGCTTTCTATCAAAGTCGCAGAAATATTTACGGACTGCATTTACCTCGCTTTTGTATAACAATGAAATCTTCTAGTTTTGTTGCGGCATTACAGCATGAAATATTAAGAGCTTTTCATATTATAAAAAAAAAAACGAAATAATAGCTAATTGTGATAAAATGTCTTCAGATCTCTTCTCTCTTTCTCGAACATATTTTTGTTACTATATTACTAATAGATATAATTGTTTCGTTACGGTAACGTCTATAGTTAATTTATAATCGCGTGAAACATCGCTGAGTTGTGCTGTTGCAAGTAACAATGGTGTACATACTATGATGCGCGCACTCCGCATGTATATCACGCAAGTGTCATAATCATGAGAGTTGCATCGCTAAAGTCTCACTGACGTCATCCAGCTCAAAAGGCTCGATGTTTCGCATCTGCGCGTCCTTTGAGCGACACGCCGTGTGCAAAGTTGCACTTTGAGTTGGGCGCGCGTAGAGTAATATCTAAATGTTCGCACAAAGACACTCAAGTAAGATGCGCGAGGTGTAATAAAGTCATAATGCACGACACACACGGGTGTTCCGCGTAAAACTCGCGGAAACCGTAGATTTTCGCCGACAAGATTTACGCGCGAGCGAGAATGCAGTTTGCCGACAGAATGCATCAAGGAAGAAGTTGCGGGATAAGAAAGGTGAAAGCGCATGAACATTCTCCCGCGGCCGTATCTGCATAAAATTGATACGTCGAACAGGTGGGTGGATGAGATGATAGAAGACCGCGCGTTATCTTCCGCCCGTAATATGTTCCAGAAGCGGAGTATCTATCACGATTCAAAAATTCCTAGAAGCGTCTCGGGAATATTGATGCCTTCAGCCGCGCAAGCTGTTTTCTCTTGTTTTGTTGGTCTTGCATTAAAATTTTATGCTCTCTTTCTCTCTCTCTCTCTCTCTTTCTCTATTTTTCAATCTGCCTCTAATAAAAATACTATAAAAATAAGAATTGAATACGAATATCTTTAGGTCAGTCTATGACGATAGTTATTCCAGTTTCATCGAGACCCTGTATCCGAGATTGAAAACTCGTACGTTTAAATCTCTCTCAGTCAATTTTAACTCAATATTAAAGATTTTGTCCGCGATTTCGAAAATGGATAATTCTGATTTCCGGTTATAAAAATTATCCTCGCTGCACAGAGCCGGCCGGAGCAAAACATTTCAATCACGTCCCTCGGCAATATTTCTTGGTATACTTTATTAGTTTCCGATATTCGATTATCGGATATTTCGAGCGTGAGCACAAATATCAAAAACCCAGTGCTGTTAATCGGCGAAAACTTACCATTCGCGTATGCGATCTCTGACTTTTACCCGAAATGGAAATCCCATTGAATGAAAAATACAGGACCACAAACCGTGGCTTTTATCCCTAGTACATTTGCCAGGCAAACTTCTTGAAACATTCAGATGATTTCGCGACTGGTATACGTGCACGATGAAATTTGAAAAATGCGCTTCAAATACGAAGGGAGCCGTTTGGCGGATGTTTTTTGCACCGTGCGTATTGCCTCGAAACAGTATATTGCAAGCAAAATCATATACGTGTGAAAAAGAAATCCTTCTACGCTCCCTTAACTTTTATATGGAAAATCCTATTTATGAGATTGAAGCAAATTACTGGTACCGTTACGCACGGTAAAACGTAATAACGTACATATATATCTTATCTACAGATAGATCTAACCACAAAATTTATCAAAGAAAGTTCAGAAAGACTCGTGAAACAAACTCGTCAATATCCGATTATTCTTTATGCATAATTCTTTTGTTTGTCGGTCGCAAGAGTTCGTGACGCTAAGCGAAAGATACTTTCTACTTATTTAGTACGCTGTAAATCACCGCGGTAATTCGCACCGGGAGTATAAAATATTCAAGATATGATCATGGCTCACACACGTGCTCGCCGCAAGATAACGGGACATGTTTTTGAACATATAGTTACAGTTTTCTCTTGTTCCCGATTCAAGACGGTATATCAGAAGATGTCTAATAAACTCGACCTTTACCAACATTACTCGCGCCGTGTTATTTCGTCATAAAGCCGGAATAGGGATACTTTCATTCGTTGATGACTCCATTGACGATGGAGAAAACTTAGAAATTGTTATCGTATAAAGAGTCAAAAGAAAAGTTTCGATATACATATATTTGTCGAAAAATAACAGCCTAAACTCGACTATAACTCAATCACAAATAAATGTCAGTCGTTTTATACGTCCACAATAATGATGTATGATGCGAATATCGTTAGTAAAAGTGGAAATGGAGAATTATTGTCATCGCATAAAAAGTTATAAGTTTTATCCTGCGAAGCACATTTTCTTCCTTACATGACAGTAAAATGTGACCATCGTATCGAGATTTTTCTTCTGCAGAAACATAGATAAACTATATGACCTAGCCTTTCACACCGTAAAAACCTATCCCGCTCGTTTATCACGATTTCTAAATACAGTTCGCTGCTTAGATTTGCATACACCGACGCGAAATGTGGGATAGGGGATGCGGGAATGGCTGTATTTACTGCGAGCATAATTAACGGAAAATCCCAGAAATTGCCAGCATCATAAATTATGGTATTTTCTCTTCCTCTCTTTAATATAGAAATGTTATTGCAACTTAAAAATAACGAGATTAAATTAATAATTAATATTATAAAAACTATTATATAAAAAACTTGTGTTATAATCATAAACTAAATGTAATTATATATTATTACAAAAATAATTATTTTTAGCTTATACATTAATTTTGATATTTTCTGAAATGTGACATTTCTGAAATTCGATATTTGTGCGTCTTTTCAGAAGGTCTCCTTTAATTGCGGCAAAATCGGTTTCGCATTATGTCTAATTCGATACTGGAAATGTTAGTCCGCGCGATCCTTTAAAAGTCCGAAAGCGAAACGGCGCGCACCACCTACGCGATCAATCTGCATTTGTCGCGGATCGATATCGCCAAAAGCAGCGTATATATATATGTACGTGATATAGGTATGCGGAGTCAGGCGGTTATGATTAATCGTTCAAATTCAAAGCACAGTTGATATTCCGTTCACTGCGATAACAAATAAATTCCCTTATATAATATACAACGCGCTTACTGTCCTGGACGTTGGATAATACATCGCCATTAGTAAAAAAAAATTCGTGAATGTGACCGGAGAACTAATGAGAAAAGATATTAGAACACGAGAATAAAATCAGATTTCTCCATTCCAGATAAAAGTAAAGTTTTGCGCTCGACTATATGCGATTGATCTTTTAGAGATTAAAGATTCGTATATTTTTGTGACTTAAGGGGATGCTGGAGCCGTAGCCGAACTCGATCGGCGTCGGTAAAGAAGACCGGCGAACTATATCTGTCCTTGTATAGACAAAGATATAGACAAGGATAGCACGCTACATTGCACGCACACATACGCACGATGCACACCGACATTATACTTTTATATTACGCTTCCAAATCTTGATTTGGGGGGTTTATCGATGTTTTTCTTGTTGTGCAATTCGGGGAAACTTGTTTTCGCGTTCGTACCAATGGTATATCTCTTATATGAAATACATCTTGTGACGAGCTGACAGCTCGCCGCAACTCAAGACGCCATATTGGGATAAGAGTAGGATAAGGAAATCTGTACTTCCGTAATTTTTTCTCGTTTTCTATATAAAATCGGAGTTTCCCCGAATCATTAAT